AATGGGACTGACACAGAGGCTGCGACAATGGGCTCAAGTATAGCAAGGACTGTGAGGATGGTGCCGGACAGGTAGTGTTTCACTGTACACAGGGTCGCTATGAGTCGAAGCTGACTAACATCATCATCTACCCGTACAAGCAGAATACCCAGAGAAAGCCATGCCAAAAACCCAAACCTGTTCCCCTCTAGTTAATCCTGACTCATAGTGACCCTACAGAACAGAGCAGAACTGCCCCATAGGGTTTTTCTAAGGTTAAAATCATTATGGAAACATATTGCCACATCTTTCTTCTACAGAGTGGCTGGCGGATTTTAACCATCAACCTTTTGGTTAGCAGCTGAGCTCTTAACCACTGAGCCACCAGGGCTCCTTAGAGAGAGAAGCAGCTAGTAAAACCAGGGTTTATCAGCTAACCAGAGGTTGGTGTTGACTCACAGGAGCTATATAGGTCATAAACCAATGCAAATGGCACAGAACGATGAGTTCAAGTCCTGGTAGAGGCTCTCAACCCCTCCTACGCATCAGAATCTCTGGGGAGCTTTAAAACAAGATACTGGTGCCTGGATCCCATTCCTAGATTCTGATTTAATTATTCTGGGCTGATATCTTGGCTTTGTGATTTTTTTTTTAAGGCAATATTAATCTGCAAAAGGTTTTCAGTGGCCAATTTTTTCACAAGTGGATGGCCCCATCCTTCTTCCCCACCTGTCTCAATCTGGGAGCTCTGCTAAAACCAGTCCACCATGGGTGACCTTGCTAGTATTTGAAATACTGGGGACATAGCGACCAGACTCACAGCAACACGCAAGCCACCACAGTACGACAAACTGACAGACAAGTGGTGGTAAAGCAGGGTCAGCAAAAGAGGAGAAGACCCTCAATGAGATGGATTGACACAGTGGGTGCAATGATGGGCTCAAGCATAGCAAGGATTGCTGGCGCAGGACAGGGCAGTATTTCGTTCTGTGGTACATAGGGTCGCTATGTGTAGAAGCCAACTCGACGGCACGTGGCGACAACAACGTGCAACAAAGTTGTGGACCAGTGACCTTGAGTGCTATGAGATCTTGAGCCCATCTCTTGACTTCCATGAACCTCAGTTTCACTAATGGTAACATGGGAGGATTTTTAAAACTGGAATCATACCACTGGCCAACTTACATTTGATGCTCTTGTCTTTGCACTTGTGGAAGTGTTAGGTGGCCTTGGAGACGTGGAGACACTGATGGAACACGTCACTCTTGTTAAAGCAAACGTGTCTCCTATCCTCTTCCCACTCAGCAACATCAAGCCAGGGCCTTGCACGCAGAGAAGGCTTGCCTACAATGTGGCTGCTCTTCACTGGTTACCAACAGATCGGGGAAACAATTAACATGCACATCAGTGGAGACAGGGGCTGCTTTCCCTGCCACTAGAGGGCAGAAGCTGAGCAGTTTGTAAGAAGGAAGTAAGGAGAAAAAAGTCTGACATCCACAGAACTCAACTCAAAGGCCACGTTTATTACCTAGGTAAGAATACATAGAAATGCTTGATCCAATCCAAAAATAGCACTGTGCTAAGGGCTGGCACACCTCAATACCTTATATCCAGAGAAAGAAAAGGAAAAAGACACTATCCTTTTCCCAAGAAGTAAACAAACTTCTCATTGGCTTAAATAGAAAAAACTTGAAAGGAACAGTAAGAAGCTTGACCACTTTGAACAGAGCGGACGGGTTATGAGTAAGGTGGAGGTCCTGTAAAAAGCCAAGGGTTAGGAAACATCCTTGCTGTTCCATGTTGTTGTTGTTGTTAGATGACATCGAATCATCTCTGACTCAGTGGTCCTATGCACAGCAGAACAAAACACTGCCTGGCCCTGTGCCAGCCTCACAGTCCCTAATATACCTGCGCCCACTGCCTCAGCCACTGTGTCAATTCACCTCGTTGAGGGCCTCCCCCTTCTCCATTGACCCTCCACTTTACCAAGCATGATACCCTTTCAGCAAGGAATGGTCTCTTCTGACAACATGACCAAAGTAGGTAAGACGAAGTCCGGCCATGTCACAGGGAACATTCCAGCTGCACTTCTTCCAGGACAGATTTGTTAGTCCTTTTAGCAGTCCATGGTACTCTTAGCACTCTTCTCCAACACCACAACTCTTCTTTGGTCTTCCTTATTCATTGTCCAGCTCTCACATGCATAAGAGACAACTGAAAATAAGAGGATCTTATTTATTTTAATCTTTTGCTTTCAGGAAAGGAAGTATGGGACTGGGGAATGGGACTGCTGGGGTAGATCTTCTGGCCAGCCTGGTATATCAAGTCTGGGTTCAGGATCCAAAGACTCTCTCTTTTCAAGGAGCCAGAGTCTCCTCAGAGTCTAGCCTTCTAACTTCTGTGCTCCAGTCTCTGGTCCATAGCTCCACCAAGCCACTGATGACAACTCAGAGCTGGTTGTGGACACAGCTTAGCCCATGAGTGAACTGGACAGACTCAGATGTTCACGGCTCACTGTTTCTCGAAAGCTTCTAATCTCCAGTTCCAGGCTTCCCCTCCAATTACACGGTGACTGGCCATGTAGCAGGGAGAAAGGAGACAGGCCCTGGGCAGCTGCCAGCATTAGTCACGCAGGGCCGAGTTCGTTTTCAGCCAGGGAGGCAAGCATCTGCTCTGTTTTAGCAACATGGCAAATCATTGCTCACTACCTCCATACAACTTGTCAAAAACACTCACCCACTCTAAAGAGGCACTGAAATGAAATCTGTGGGAATAGAAGATGCACCATGCAAGTGGGTGAACTCATCTCATTTTGTTTCAGGCATGGGGTGGGAAGTTATTCAACATGGCAAACATGATTCCATCTGTTGAGAATGTTGGTTCTCATTTCAAAACCAAGAGGAGGCTCACAAAGTCTTCCTGCCAGGAAGAGGAAGGTGAGTATATACCATGGTACCAACATTTTCTAACAAACTCACTGTCCCAGTTTTACCAAGTGATAAGCTCACATGGACACAAAAAAGAAGTCCACAGTGGGGGAATGTTCAGTCTTCCTACTAGTCAACAAGCTGGTCACCAACATACGTATTACACAAGCAAACACATCAGACAGGGCCCATTACTCAAGCACATCCTTACCATCTAGAAAGGGAGACAAGACCAGAATGCTTGAGTGAATTTAAACCAATCAGACAGCAAATGATCAAAGGCTAAGTTACATGGTTCAAACTTTTAGTGCTACTGAAGTTCAGAGGGAGCCCATCAATCTCTCCAGCCCTAGCCTTCCCCAAGCACTGCCTACTCTCCAGCTCCTTAAAGTCAACCCACTCCAAAGCAGATTCTTAATTTCTTCCTGTCACTTCCTTGAAAACCACCTTTTGTGATGATAATTATTTCCTAAGGTCAAAATCCTAATTATCTGCTTGGAAAAATAGTAGCACACAATGGTGTCCAGATGCATACTACTAACAAACAGATGGTTTTTCCATAAGAAGAATTTTATCTTTAATATTATTTTGCTCAGCTCCTACCTTTTTCTATGTATTTTGATGGTATATAAAAATTCCAAGACTACTACAGCTTCTTAAAGTCTTCAAGCATTGGACAGTGAATTACAAGTCCCTGTTTTTTAACCTTTGTTTTTTATTCTGTAATTACCTGTGGTCTGATCATTATTTTTCTTGCAGAGAAAATTGGAAGATGGTTTTACCTTTCTACCTCAAAAAAACTGCATTTCCATGAATAAAGTCCCTATATAAAATAATAATAATAGACACAAATCTCTCTCTCTCCCAATCTCCTCTGTTGCAAACCTCACATGAAATATCTGTGCCTATATCCTCAGCTTTACAATATGCTACGCACTCTCTTTCTTTCTTCCCCAGTGGCTCATGGAACACACTGGCCTCTTTTCCATTCCTTGAACACTCAAAGGGGGCATACCAAGGTCTTAGGGCTTTGGCATGACCAGCTCCTGCCAAGGGCATCCTCCGCCCTTGGCACCCTGCATCCTGACTCCTTGATGGCTGGCTCCTTTTCTCAGCCCCTCCTCAAGAGGGCTGGCCTCATTGAACACACTCACCTTACAGATTCCTTCATGTTCCCTCCCTGTACCTCACCCACTGACTCCCACACCTATTGCAATTTGTCATAACAGTCTCATTCTGTGTTCACGTTCACTCTCTGCTCCCTCCAATGGTAAGTTCCTGCCAAACAGGAGGGCTGTGACTGCTCACTGATATTCACTGCTTCACCTGGCACAGTGCACATACCAAGCACTCAAATACTTGTGAAATGCTACACAAATCACAAGAAGGGGGGTCGCAAAAGGCTCAGGCAAGGGAGGCTGAATCTGACCTATCAGGAAGGGCAGAATTTCATAGTTACTACTTCATCTTCCTTTTGAGCAAAACAAAGTCAACTAATTAAAAAAATAAATAAATAAATAACCTTACTAGAGCAGTTAACACATATTGAGAGAACCTATGTATCCAGCATTATTCTAAGTACTTTTCACACATTAACTTGCATAATTCTCAAAATAGCCTTAGACAGACGATCATGCCCATTTTACAGATGAAGTAACAGGTCCAGAAAAATTGCTACCTTGCCCCAGGTCACAAAGATAGTAAAGGCCAAGCCAGGATCCCAGCCCACGCAGGCTGGCTCCAGAGCCCAGCTCCACTGCCTGTCTCTTTAAATAGCTCCCCACCTTATCTCCCACCTGTGCCGCAACACCATGGGACGAACCTTCCTTATCCCTCCACTCCCCTGAAAGATTCTTGTTTCAACCACCAACATCTCCCAGCTGCTAACAAGTGGACACTTATTCTTTTATGTTACGTCTGCATAGCAGCATTATGGTTTAGCACTCTCACATACCGTATCACTTAGCAACAACAAAAAAGATTCCAGGAGCTTAGATACACTAATCTCCAGGAAACACAAAAGCCCACAATGTACCATCTAGTGTGTTCAGCAGACACTGGACCACTCCCTTCCCCCCTGTGACCAGCACTTACAGTCTCATCTTCAAATCTGAGCTGGAGGTTCTTCTCTCCCTCTTTGTAGTCCTTGGTTAATTCAGCTGAGCGCCACACCTCTTCTGGGTCAGGGATCCAGACCCTTGTATACTGAAAGATTAAAACATAAGAAACTTAGATCCAAGGTACCACATTCTTCTTGTTACGACACCCTATACCTGTTGGTGAATGGAGGTGTGGCCATCCCCACTCCCAACTACCTTCTGGGCCCACAGGAA